CAGATTTCTTTTTTGGGTGTTCTCCTACATTTTTATTTCATTTTTAAAATCAATTGCTTTTATATAATTGAATCCAATTGATCTTAAATTCAAATGAATCCTGGTAATGATTGAAAACTCGTGTTGTTTCCCATGACACATGGGCAAGATAAGCACGCCAGTCATTGGCTGTTGCGAATTAAGTCATGAAAGTGCGCTTTTCGTTCCATAAAAGATCACAGCAAGGTGAAAGTACGTTTTAGCTCAGAATTTCACTGATAGATGGCAGCACCACTGATTCGTGAGGCCAGTTCCAAAATTTTGACACAGATCTGAATTTGATGAAAATTTATTACAGAGCCCTGTACCCATAATACAGGATGCAGTCAATGATGGACCACAGATATCGCATATACTCGGTGGGTCTTAGCGGAAACGCGGATTGAACCCCGGTCCTTCTGAACCGGAATCCGATTCTCAAAGCACTGGGATAACGTGGTCTTGTAAACTCATTAATTCATATACAATTCTTTTATTTTATGTTCTATTTTATCTTGTTAATCGCTTTCAACTCCAAGCCAAATAAAATTCGCGTCCTCACACAAATAAAGGTAGCAATTTTCTCCTTAAATGAAATGGTTTAATCAGAAACGAAGAAATTTCGTGAATTCGGAGTATCCACTTTTTACAATGTAGTTAAGGGAGGAAAATTCTGTTCAATACCATTACTTTTATTCTAACTGAATTAAAGGGAAATGATCTGTCTTTCTTTTTTACAAATTGCAAGTTCTATCAAAACATTTCATTTTTTTATGTTTACTAACCGGTTTAATAATCTTTGCGGTAGATTAAGGATTCTAAAGAATAAAACTCTTATTGGTTTTACGATCAACTATCTTAGATCTGTATTTCATCTCTTTTTGTCAGTCATTTCGTCCCGAGATCACACAATTTGTGACTAATCATAAACTAACAAATATTTATCAAAACTGCTTACTCACTCATACAAGGAAAGATTTCACAAAAGTTAGTAAAAATGTGTCAAAATAGTTCCTAAGCAACAATCTAATTATAAAATCCTATGTATTTGAAATGGAACAGCATATACTCTTTTTTGAGCAAAATTCATAATGAGAGAGAAGCTCATTATTTGTCGGTGATATTTTGGTTAATAATTTAGGCAGGGACAGTATATGCAAAAGTATGGACAAAATTACCACATTGTGATAAAATGTACCGGATTGAACCCCGGTCCTTCTGAACCGGAATCCAATTCTTAAAGCACTGGGCTAACGTGGTCTTGTAAACTCATTAATTCATATACAATTCTTTTATTTTATGTTCTATTTTATCTTGTTTTATGCCACTGTAGAAACATCGGAAAGTACGGTACTTTTAACCGAAGTGCTTTGGTAACGACTTTTTGATAAAATAAGCAATAACATAAGGTGTTATTACCAAGCTATTAGGTAGTAAATGTGATAAAAATATACAATTTAATTATGATAAGAAGCATAATTAGGAAATTTTTATTTACGAATAAAATCTGGTTACCTAAATCGCTGCCATACGAACGGAAAAATTACGAACTTAATGGTTTAAATATTGTATATTTTGATTTTATTAGCAATTTTTAAAATTTTTTTTAATCTGAAATGTTATTACCATACAAGTGTAGTAATTTTATCAGATTTTTTTCTCCGTGTAAAAAAATTTAAAGTGAATGGAATGTATGCCATGATGTGTCATTGTGGCGACCACTATATAAAGCTTCCCATCTCTCCCCAAACTGAACAAAATTACATACAAAATTATATAACAAAAATTCACTATGGTGGCTAGAGTCGGTGATATTCGAACTGATATTCAAAAACTGGTTACCCAAATCATTACCATACAAGTGGAAAAATTACCAACTGAATGGTATGAATATTATTTATTTTGAATTTATTAGCATTTTTTAAAAATAAAATGAAAAATAAATCAGAAATTTTATAACCATAGAATTGAAGTAATTTTATCAGTTTTTTTCTTCTCCATGTTAAAAAAAAATTAAAGTTAATGGAATGTATGTCATGATATGTCAATGGGACAACCTGTATCTCGCCCCGAACTGTGGTGGTTAGTATCGGTGATATTCGAACTGGTTTTCGAAAACTGGTTATCTAAATCAATACCATACAAGCGGAAAAACTACCAACTGAATGGTTAAAAATATTGTATATTTTGAATTTATTATCAATTTCTTGAATTTTTTTAATCAGAAATATTATTAGTTATTACCAAACAAGTGCAGTAATTTTATCAGATTTCTTCCTCCATGTGAAAAAAATATTAAAGTGAATGGAATGTATGCCATGATTTGTCATTGTGGCGACCACTATATTAATCTTCCCATCTCTTCCCGAACTGCAGTGTATAACTATGGTGGTTAGAGACGGAAGGCCTGGGCTCGGCAGCCAACAAACATTTCTTCCTCTACATCATTTTAGAGACTGTTAATTTTGCTCAAAAATGGATATAGGCTGTTTCATTTTGAATACATTAAAATTTGACTCGTACGTGTTTCGAAGTTATTTTGACACAATTTTGCCTTATTTTAAGAAAACCTTTCTTGAAAGTGTTTGCCTTCTTAACGTGCATTTTTATATTTGAATTTAAAACCTATTACAAAAAATTTATGTCGGGATGATATAGGGGCTAGCTCTCCGTATAGTCAATAAGGCTAATGAGTTTGGTCACTACTGATGACTGAGTGCTCGTTTACTCATAGTCCTTTTTTTATTTTTATGTTGTACTTCATAAAATAATAATTTTTCTTTATCATCCCTAATGTTTTTGACTGAATTCCCAATCTTATATAAGTAAAGATAGAAATATCAGGCATCTTCATGATAGAAATATCATGAAGATATAAATACCATATCATCTTCAAACACTCGAAGCACTTCTCAGAAAACAATGACATTTTCCTGAATCTTAATAATCCATTTCTTAAAATAAGTAAAAAATTTTATGTTGTATTTTTTTTTCATGGTTAAAAATAGCACGCTAACGGTTCATAAATTAATGTCAATTATTGCATTAACTCATTGGTAGATATTATTGTTTTTATTCTGAATTATATTTTATGTAACATCCTATAAATAAACCTAAATATCCATAATGTTGGAAATGATATAATAAGGATTACGTTTGCATTATGTGGGTATACTTTATGTTTATGTCTTTATAACTCATGTATGAAAACTCACATAGTGCAACATATTTTTTTTTACCAAGCAGTGTATTTTATTTGTATGTGAACTGTCGTAAAAAAGCACATATAGATTATTAAATACTAAGCGGTATGCTTTAATGGCTAAAAAAATAACAAATCTAGTTTTCTTAGTTTTTCATAATTTTTTAGTTAATTAATGTTTTTCTTGTTAATTAGTGTTTTTCGTTTTAATTAGTGTTTTTAATGTTAATTAGTGTTTTTCTTGTTGATCAGTCTTTTTCTTGTTAATTAGTGTTTTGTTAATTAGTGCTAGTCTTGCTATTTATATGCAAAACAAAAGCAGAGAAATATGTTTAATAAGTGAAATTTTTTTATAAAAATATATTATCAAAATTGTCCTTATAATACAAACCAAATTCTAATTCTCAATAACACTTATAAAACACTTCGATTTCTAGAAATTGAAAAAAAAAAGGTATTATAAGCCTTTTATTATACTTTTGAAAAATTTAAATAAACTAATATCATATATTTGTTACATTATCCGTTCGAATTCGTTATAAAACTGCCTTAATGGGAAAAATTTACTAATATGTTCAATTTTTATTTAATTATTATTTTTTAAAGTGATATTTTATCGCTGAAACATATTAGCGTATTTAAACCAGAGCTAATATATTCGTATTGTTGCGTTTAGAAATTTCACTAATATTTTTATTGTTAGAAATCGCTTTTTAAAAATTCTATAACTAATACTGGATGTTTTTTTTTATGTATATTACAAAAAGTTCATTAAATCAGTATTGTTTGGTTACTTTTATTGTTTTGTTAATTTTATTGTTTTGTTACTCGTATTGTTTTGTTACCTTCAACAATGCATTTTGCATTTCTTGAATTAACAAATTTAGACGAGTGATTGGCAACGTAGAAAGCAGGAATTAAATTATATTCACCAAAATTCCTGATAATAATGTGACTGTTTTGTTTTCAGGTTGTATCAAAAGAAATAATGAATTTAAAAAGAAATAATGAATTTTTAAGTTTGGATGTATAAGAATAATAAGTTAAAAATTTTGGGAAAAGATGGAAAATAATATAATAACGATTAATGAAAAGAGAAGAAAACTTCTTAAAGTAAGATATTTTTAAAAATCTTTTACAAAAATCTTTCTACTTAAAAAATTTATTTAAAAGCCGGAAAACAAAATAATGAAAAGATATAATCTCGTCAACAGCTAACTCGATTGTATCAAAAAAAAAGGAGTGCTTTCGAATATTGTGTTAATATAGGCAAAGCAAAAATTACCAGTATGAAAGAATTATTATTATATGATTATTATTATTATTATACACATTATTTTTTTATTAAAGATTACATTAAAAATTATTCTTCCTAATTTTCTTCTTTTAAAATGAAACAAAGCAAAATTCTTTGAACTAACATTTCTAGTTTTTATGTCCCTTGGTGTTCCAGAAGAAATGAAAACTGATTGAATGTAAGAATGCTTTAGGCATATTTGCAATTATATTTACAAAACAAATTAATATTATATTATTTCAAATTCATTTAAATATGATATAGAATGAATAATAGGTAGATATTAATGATTTTGGAAATCTTCTGCATTATTTCGTATGCAGTGTATAAATCGAAATTTACTTAAGAAATAAACATTTTATAGTTCATGCTACGATTCTGTTAAATTCTCAAAATATTTACTGTAAAAAACTTTATTTTAAAAGTTAAATTTAATATTTTACCTTTATAGACGATTTTTTATTATATTCGATGATTTTTTTAAATATTGGTCTTACGCTCGTTAGGTTATAAATAAAAGAAAACAAATTTATTCTTACAATTTACTTCCTGGGTAAATAATATGTTATGAATATAATAAAAATATATTAATACCAATTAAGTGAAATTGCCTAATTAAGTGAAATATTGTTTCATGCAGCAATGTTTCGTATTGCATGACCTGAAATTTTAAATAATATGCAAATTATGATTTTTTTCTCACAAACCGGAGAAAATAATATCCTCCTGTTTTCGAAACAGTTCGGAACATTCTTTTGAAAATTCTGTTTCGTTTGAAGATTTAAATATTCCAATTTCATCTTCTCTTGGTTGGAAAGTAAAGTTCATGTGAGTTTTGTTAATTACAGATGAGCCGCAGCATGGCTTTATACCTTGTGACTTTCACTGAAAGAAAATAAATAATTATAAAAACATGGTTTTCAGAGTAGAAACTCTAGATGGCGCAAAGTATCGCATTTACATTTTGGGAGCATGTTTTTAATAATGCAGGAATGTACTTTGATTCAGAATTGTTTCTGGAACGTAATGTTGGCAATGTAGCATATGTTGACAGCGATGAACTAGATCCTTAATTAAAAGCGATGAACTAGATCATTTCTTTGAAAACGACTATAAAATAAACAGTGATCCAGTTTCGACATAGTTACGATGGGTGATCTAGTTACGCCACTGATGTAGTTTCTGACGCATCAGCTAGGTTAACTGTTACTGTATATTAACTATTTATGTTTAGTTTCAGTTTGTATTTATGTTTTAGTTTCAGTTTGTGTTCTATGGTATAATTCTTTCTTTGCTTTACGTTGTTATGTTTAAAATAATAAAACGTTGTTAAGTTTAATAACGCTGTTTTTCTTTCAAAAATAGAGTTGTGTTGCAGTTCTAATTTTCGTGTTTTAACAGCATATACACTGTTAGAAATTTCTTGGAAAAAATGGTTAAATAACAATTCTACCATTCCGTTCAACGCAAGAAGGGTTTCCAGTATCCTGCACTCTCCAATGCCCATTACCTAGTGAAAAGTCTTTCGCCTATGTCCGGTAAAATTTGTCTTTCGCGCTTTTTAAACCGTGCTAGTTGTAAATGGTTTCAGAACCGTAAAGGTAAAACAAAATGTTACTTACCATAATATTTACGGTTAATAGGAAGGAAGGACAGCTTCCGGTTATTTTACCGCAATTTTAGAATGAAAAATCTATCAATGTATGTAAAGGCAAAGATCTATTTGTGAACACTATATTTGCAACTACATTTTACGGAGGGAGTTCTCTCTCGGATATTGCCTTTCCGATTAGATTCCTGAGTTTAGATTTCCACTCATCCTCTAAGTATATTGATGACTTATCTCTTACCTTGATAGCAATAACGAAAGTCCCATGTTTATACCCGATTTCTTATTGATTATCCAATTACCCAATATTGATTATCCAACTTGCATTGATCATCCAATACATGCTGAATAAATGTATGTCAAAAATTTAAAATAACATAATCAGGGTAGTTTTATTAGGCATATTTTATAAAAGCGCAGACATTGTATTTTTATGCTTATAGAAGTGACTAAAATTTAAAAACAGAATATAAATATTTTACATAACATTTTCTGCTATCTTTAAGATTCTTTTTTATTATTTTTTTAAATTTTCACTGTGTGAGAAGCTTTATGCTTAGTATATTGCAAACTAGTTCAATTATTGAACGATAAGCATTATTATTTTTTACTAATATAACAACTATCTTTTCAATGCCACCAATTTACTAATCACAATCTACTTTTAAATTGAACGTATTTAATAATAGATTTGTAGAAAAATTATTTCTGGTTTGATTTGAAAAAGTCGCGGGACAAAATTCTGTCTGGGAGGAAAAAACCTTCGTAACGAGATCACCGTTATGAAATGTTTTACGAATAAAATATTGTTTTAGCATGAATGCAATTTATTTTTTCCCTATTCTTTTTTTTACCCATTTGCAAAATGAGTCTCGGTTTGGATTTCATGGCGTCCTCACTTTTCAACTACAATAATCAAGAGTAAAAGTAAACAGTGCGCATGTGTTGCTATGGCAACCGCTGCTGTTTAATAATATTTTCAGAATTTTTTTTCCACTTTTAATTTTGTTACGCATTAAGTTGGTGAGTTTATTTTGGAGATATGGGACCAGAGAGATCCCAAAAATACTTTTTGAGTTGCGAATGAAAGATAATTTCATCATTTGAACGATATTTTCGTTTTTATTGCCTTATTTAAGAATCAGAAATTCTAACCTACGGTTTTAAATGGATAGTTTTCAATGCTAATTCAGGTGAGTATCACATATAAAGATTGTTCAAATTGATTTACACGGTACCAAAAGTTAGAGTTGAAGCAAGAAAAAAACGATGCCAAGGCCTAAAATTAACGAGGCTGAAAAAGCCAAAGCCAAAGAACGTTGACTGGAATACCTTAAGCGTTACACACAAACGGAAAAACAAAAGGATTCCTTTCGTAAACACAAGCACGCCCGTGGCACACAAAAGTACCAAAGTGGTTGAGAGAATTGAACCCTACCGACGAGCGAATGGTGACTCTCTGAACTCCTTTCATGCAAACACGAGACCTGGGTGTTAATCACCAGTTGCAAGTCCCAATGACTTGCACAAGACTGTAGATTGTCTTCCACGCAATATAAATGATTCGTTTACTATTCATGCAAAATTGAAAAAAAATACTAGCTTTCAAATCATATTTCATGTATGAGCTTGTTAATGCGAAACGGGTACAGCTTATGATCTCCATCAAACACTATTGTACCAATCCGAAATGCTAATTTTGATCTCGATTGGCTGTTCAATGTCTATTCAGTCATCAAAAGAATTTACACAGAATGTGTCTAAGCTGCATTTAAATATGACTACGAAATTGTGCACCGAGCAGTTCAGGAATAACAATTATATATGTCCAAGATAAAAACACAATAAATTTTCTTTCCTAAACAAAATTAGACAACAACCATTTCGCCAATGGGTAACCTGAGATCGCTGCAAGGCGATTACAATTTTCTTCATTTCGTAGTGAATCGTATTTTATCTAGTGTTTCAAAGTTATTTTTAATTTTTACTTTTACAAAACTCTGATAGAACAAAGTTTCCCGTGTATAAAACTCATTTAATAATACTATGAACTAAGTTCCAGATATATTGTAAATATTCCAATTAACAAATTATTTTTTGAAGTGAATAAGTCATAATTCATAAAAATATGTTCCTTAAGAAAATCCCTAAAATTCCCTACAGTCTGTATGGCGCCATATATACTCCATAACAAAAAATTCGACACTCCAAGAAGCAATCATCCGATTGCTTTGAAATTTCGTATGCATGAATGTTTTGAACAGATCAGGCTGGAATGATGCCGACTGGGGACGTATAGTCTTTAGCGACGAATCCCGCTTCCAACTGTGTCCTGACGATCATCGAAGACGTGTTTGGAGACGCACAGGACAGATGGGGGATCCTGCTTTCACTATTGCACGGCACACCAGCCCTCAGCAAGGCATTATGGTCTGGGGTGCCATTTCCTTTGACAGCTGGACCCCTTTGGTCGTCATTAGAGGTACACTTACTGCACAGGGGTACGTCGACGACATCCTAAGATCTGCTTTGCTACCGTTCCTTTTGCAACGCCCTGGGCTGGTTTTTCAGCAGGCAATACCAGACCACATACGGCACTTGTTGCTATGAACTGTCTGCAAGCTTGTCAAACTCTTCCTTGGCCTGCCAGATCACCAGATCTCTCTCTCCCATCGAGCATGTCTGGCATATGATGGGAAGGCGATTGCATCTGGCACGGAATGTTGATGACCTCGTTCGACAATTGGATCGAATTTGGCAGGAAATACCGCAAGAGACCATCCGGGAGCTTTATCGGTCTATGCCACGCCGTGTGGCAGCTTGTATCCAGGCTAGAGGCGGGTCAACACCTTATTGAACTTGTTACTGTAACTCTGCAATAAATTATTCAATTGTTCTGAAATTTTAATCATTTACTATTCTGCACATTGTCTTCCTATCCACCAATTTTCGTTTCAATCGGATAACTCCTTCTTGGTGCGTCGATTTTTTTGTTATGGAGTGTATTAAAATGAATCGAGATAGTTAAATTTTCCCTTTTGGATGACTTTCGATTACGTTAAGGATAATCTTCCAACTCATTCACTTTCAGAATCTCTAAATGTAAGTCGGGACAGACCATTTTGCGTAGCTTTTTCATGATGTAACTGATAACAAAACTACGGCCCAATTATTGTAATAAATTATTTTTGTTTTTTTTGGCAAAAATGTGGCTCATAGCTCCCTTTGTGTTCTAAGTTTATGTAAGGTAACCCTTATGAAAATTCTCATCATATTTGCTATATTCTAAGAAAATGGAGCTATAGTGAAGTAAATATGTTTTATTATTTTTACCCACTGTTACAAGCATATGTGTTTAAAATTTATGGTTTTATTGTTAATTTATTTTTTATAATGGTAACATAAAGTTATGCCTGTTAATTTTGTGCAAGCACTTCTGCTTTTCAATGGAACCTATCCAAGGAAATTGACTAGCAATTTCCCTTTTTACCAATTTGTTGCTTTTTCATTCTGTTACTCTTCCACTCTATTGCTTTTCCACTCTATTACCATGCACATAGTAGTCAATTGTATCGTAGATTGCTTTAAGTTAAGGACTAGTTTCATCATTTTTTATCTTGTAATTGTTATACTGCTAATTTTTCTAATTATATTTAAATTATAGAAATAAAAAAAAATTAAAAATGGCTTATTTTCTAATACTGTTTTAAATTTTATGAGCAAGAAGCATTTCTGCAGCAGCAGAAATTAATGAATCAAACGTTGAATTTAAAAAAAAAAATTCTATATTTCTTTCAATTTTGAAAATGTCTCATGTAGGAAAAATTTGTTCAGATACGATGACGCTAGAAAATTTCTGCGTTGTTAAAACTGTGAAGTTTATATCACACGTATTTTTTGATTTATTAAATACTTACAGATCTTTAAGAAGCGAAGTACTTTTTCACCTCTGAGAATATCGATAAGATTTTCTCTGTCCACCTGAGTGACTGCAATCTGCACAAAATAAACAATCATGAAAATTAAATGAGAAAGTAAATCGTGGTTAGTTCAAAATATGCTTAACCGTTTATAATCTTAAATGATATTCAACTATAAAAATTCATGTTCTGTATTTACTTAATTCACAAGTTCTAATTTGAACATTTGCTTGAATTTCGATATTTTTTTTAAAATCAAAATAACGCAATTCTTTGAGGTATTAAAGAAAAATTTAAAATTTTTAGTTTCTATCTTTTCTTATATAAAATTTTTAGTCCTGAAAAAGCATTCTATTAAACAATATATACCAGTGAAAGAAATGGAATTTTCAGTTCAGTTGTTAATGGAAAATTCTATTATTGATTGAAATAAACAGTGCTTTTTTGCAGTTTCACATCATATAAAATAAATATTACTTTTCTGTAAAGTATTTGAGATTGAGAAATTACGTAATGTTGTTACAACAGGTTTTCTTTAACTAATTAGCGAAAAATTAGTTAGATATTTCGCTGCTAAGTTGATAAAATATTTAAAATAGTTGTTAAGACATTTAGAATATTAGAATACATATTTAGAATAATTGCTAAGATATTCAGGTTATTAGGATAGATATCTAGGTTAAAGCTAAAATATATTATTACCGAAAGACTAAAAGTAAAGATTAAAAGTAACGACTAAAAGAAAGATAAAAAGTATTTTAATTTTGAAACATAAAACGGTGTAATCTGAATAGCAATTGCAATAATAAAGTAAATTCTATACTCTTTATAACCTCTAGTTAAAGGTACTCATTCATGGCTTAAATGGCCACTTAAGATATGCTAAAACCTAATGCAATTGTAACATAAATTAGCATTAATAAATCTACGCAGTAAGACAAAATCCTGAAAAATTACGATAAGAAATTCAAGCACTCAGGACGTAAAATCCATTTTCATAGTAAAATCTTATATTATAATTTTTACAATATTATTTATTGAATTACAGAGATTCAGAAAATATTACTGTAAAAATTACAATAAAATTTTTTAAGGAAAAGGTGGATTTTACGGTAAAAAGTACTGGCACTATGAGTACCAGTATTTTTTACCGTAATATTTCAGGAACTTTTATTTTACCGAGCAATGGTGCATTTCAATTTTTGTTGAAACTTGATAAAGAGTCGATATTTTGACAGTTGACATAAAACTCTATATTTATTTGTATATAAATATATATTAAAGTTGTTCTTTTCCAAAAGGGGAATTTTATTTCATAAAAATGGGAAATAGATTTTTTTCCCGTTTGACGCATCGTGTGAGTTTTATGGGGACAAGTGTAAGTAATGGATGTTTTGTTTTTGGCTTCAACACACAATAAATACTTTTTTCAGGAAAAAAAAACATTTTTCTATTATTGATCATTCAGGCAAGAAAAAAATCTTACTGTATGGAATCAATTTAAAACCAATAATATTTTTTCAAACGACATATTTTTTACTAGAAATGCTTTGTACTAAAAAAATTGATGTTTTAAAAAATATCTTTATACTGGATAGTCAACTTTATTTTACTTTATGGAACATTTTATCTCATAGAAAAAAAAATAAAACTATTAACAACAACAGCAGACAAAAATATTTCACCTTGCAGCATTTGATCGCTTTGATAATCGTCCTTGAGTTTTGTATCTATCGATTCCTTCCAAAGTAAGCTACTTGATGAGGCCCCGACTTCATCTAAGCACGATGCTTTACTAGCTGGAAATAAAAAAAAGTAGAAAATTAAGATCTTGATTCTTTTCAAGTTGGAAATTAAAAAGAAAATAGAAAATAAAAATCATGATGTTTTACGAGCTAGAAATGAAAAAAAAAATTTAAAAAATTGAACAAAAATTTAAAATTAAAATTTTGATACTTTTACAAGTTGGAAATAAAAAAATAGAAAATTACAATCTTGATGCTTTACAAGCTGGGAATGAAAAAAGTAGAAAATTAAAATCACGATGCTTTACTAGCTGGAAATAACAAAAAAGAAAACGATCACGGTAGAAATATCATATGTCAAACAACAATCTAAATTCTCAGAAATGATCAGAACGTTTTTATTTGTTTTTGAAAATATTGTCAGGCGTAAGAGAATATTTTAATTAGCTTAAATAGGCAAATAGGTTAAGAGGAGTCCATTAAATCATTATATCCAAACTGAAATTATCCATTTATTAGAGAAAAAGGATAATGGTTTAGTTTGAATTAATAACTGTTCTCTGTTTTTTATGTATGCATTATATTAAAAGATTAAATATGCATTAAACTTATTATGTTATGAAGTAGTTTACTGTCTAATAATTACAGAAATATTACAAAATGAAGTAATATTACTCATATTTCATTACAATATTATGTAATATCTGCTTCAATATATTTAATATAGTTAATGCAAGTTATAAAGTACATAATTATTTCTTAACACGTTACATTTTTCTGAGAAATGTTATTATATAAAATAGAAAAGCATTTTTCTTTAAATTAAAAAGAATTTTTATTTCTAGATTTTAAATTTTATATATAAATATATAAATATAAAGAATTTGAAATTAAAAACGTTTTTAAATATGTAAAAGTGACTAAAAATAGAGATTAAGCAATAAATATACTTGTTAATAATAAGTTAGAGTGCGCAAAGTTTCCATTTGATATTATTAAATTTAGAGCCTCGATAGCTCAGTAGATAAGGCACTCAATTCTATTGTGAAAGATTGGAGTTCGACCAAAAGTAGTGATTTCAAGCCAACTCAGCTTCAGATATTTGGGCACCAGCTTATCTAGGAGGTAAAGGCACTGTGAGTGTCGTGCTGTCCACATTGCCGCAATCATGTTGTAAGTCATGAAATTGTGGAGCTTCAACTTCTATGCTCCTTCTGGTCCATAACGGAATGCGAATGATTTACTTTTATTACACAATATAAGTCAACTTATTTACGCTTGAGATATTTTTATAAAGTTTTTTAAGTTTTTGTGAAGTAGTATTTTGGAATAAATGCATCAACGTTCACACTTTAAATATTTCAATTATTTTAAAATAGGGAAAAGTTACGTTTTTTAACGTATGCTTAAAGATCTATTTATTTAACTAAAAATATAATCTTATTGCATCAATGACATTGTTGCAATGAGATAAGATAAGATACCACTCTTCATTTTCATGATTTTCTTTATTTCGAAGAAGGTATTGACTTCGATGAAACAATTAAATTTTTTGACAGTTAATTTGTAATTAACTAAATTCATTAAAATATTTAGCTGAGATGTGATTTTTTTTGAATTGAAAAATAAATATTGGCAATTAAGACGCATATTGGTAATTGAAATGCTAATTATGAAAATGCAAATAAACCACATTCGATAAAAAAATAGCGTGCGAAGTTCTTACCTTGAATGAAAAATTCTGGCATTTCGCCTGAAACAAAATAACCAAGACAATAAGAAAATAATTAAAAAAAACTAATACTATTCTAAAATTTTGGAATGCATACATTTGGAGTGTTACGTCAAAAATGTTTTTAAAGTTTCGCAGACACGAAACATTTCTTAAAATGAAACGTTTTCAATATATTAGGGTTTCGAAAAACAACATACTAAACCATGCCCAATTATAATAAAAAAATGGTCACTCTTCATTTAGTATATGGTCAATACGCTTTCATACAAGCCGATTCGAAAACAGCTGTTAACCACCATATTATTCTCCTACGATATTATTAAATATTTAAAAATGAATAAAGTTAGATTTTCTTTCATTTTAGACGTTTAAGAACACGCATTTTTGATGTAACAACAAGAAAGGGTAATTAATTACAATTATTTTTCTTCACAGAATGTATAATTTTTAATACTCAAATTTCAGATTTCATATGGTCCAAACAAAAACCAGATCTCACATGTTTTAACAACTCAAATCAAGGACAACTACTTGCAGAATAATGACATCATGCTGTATCTGTGTCTGATATGCATTCCCAAGAATGAAATTTAAATTGAAAAACTTCCCTAGCCACAATTTTACCTTGGCCCCAGTTGGGCTCAAAATTGGCTCAATACGGGTTCTATAAGAACATGCACCGAGGGATCAATATTGGCAAGTCAAGATTTTTCAATTTTGTTTTTAGAATAATCTATATAGGGCCTATATTGGCTAAATAAGGAATTAAAAATATCGAATAAATCTAATAATTCTGTCTAGAACCAAAATCAGAAAAAGAACTGCCTTTTGCACTCTTATTTAGCGAAGATTCGTGAATATTGGTCCAATGACGGCCAAGTTATTTTGCCTGCTAGGTTAAATTTGCCGATTAATATACACTGTTAGAATTTTCATTCTAATATCATGGCAAAACAAACGGTAGCAGGCTGTACATCCGATTAACTGTAAAGTTTACGGTAAAGAAATTTTTTTACCTTTGTGGTTTGGAGACCGTTTACAACTAGTATAGTTAAAAAGCCATGAATAAAAAACTATTCTAATTCGCCACTTACAGTTAGCATGGTTTTAAAATTGAAAAAAGAGATGTAGCTGGGCGTATGAGTTAGGGTTTTTGCTGGGTAATGGGCATTGGAGATAGGTTATGGTTTATTAACAGAAAAAAATTGTGGTGTCAATGCTGGGACTCGAACTTACGTTCTGTCGGTCATTAGATTGTCAGATTAGAAATCTCAGCAATTTGTACGTAAGTACTAGAAACTTAAGTGGCTCCATTAGGTGGACTTAGTTCGGGAGATAAAAGTTGCTTAACCGTATTAGGTGAAAGCAGTTAAATAACGGTTTTCCTCACAGTTAATAGTCTGAATACCATCTTATTTATGGTTATATGCAATTTCACTTTTGAATATAGTAAAATAACAATTAAACAAATTGTTATTCAACCATTTTTCAAAGAAATTTCTAACAATGTAATAGGCAAATAATTCAATAAATATTTGTTATACCACTATGCTGAGAACAATATATCTATCAATAGAATGGTGCCCTTGAACCCAATGTATATTTTTAAAACGTCCTTGCTGAAAAGAAATCTTGATAATTTACGGAAAAAATAATCTCTAAAAGTGTCATAACTTCCTACCATGAATTTATTATTTACCGTAAGAATTTGTTTAAAAAACAGAAAAGGTTTGCGTTAAATATTAAGTACTCATAGCCATGCCAATGTTTAACTGATTAAAAAGTCCCAGCATAAACACTTGTACAATTTTGATACAGATAGTGTTCGGTTTTAAAATCAGGTAGAATGTTTTAGGATAATGTAATATTAGCAAACAACACTATATCCCTTAATGAACATTAGTCTTAATTACTTTTTACTTATAAACTCCAAAAGTTAAATTGTACTTAAGAGACTACATTTTATAGGAATTTACCTTAAAAGTTTTAGGAATTACTTAGTTTTCATGTATTAAAATATGACTTACCAGGATAATGATACACATGGAAATCTGATCTAGGTGGACGAGGGGTTCTTTTTACAGTTGCATACAATGGTTCTTCCATTGCTGCCTGTACAGAAAAAAATGATCCATATTATTATTTAATGACATAAAATTACTCTATTTGAAAATTAAATATCAAGAATTAATTTTTTAAATTTGACGTAAGTAAATGTTGAGTTAAATTTTTTTAAAAAAAGTATCATGCTGTAACATAGTTTATAAAATTGCAATGTGTATAACTAAAAATAGTTGTCTAATCTGTGAGATCATTAAGGAATGGTGTAATTTAATATTGGCATCAGTTTTCTTAGTTTTAATAATGTATAGTTTAATATAAATGAACTCTATCAACAATGACTTTTTAATGATCTATTGATTATCATGCAAAATGATTTAAAATTTGAGTAAAAAAACTTATAAGAAGAACAGGGTACACATTGACAACTCAGAACCACACAAACAAATGCATTATTCTCGACTAACAATATACTATACATAACAGTATAAACAAAGGTTGTTAGGTACTTTCGACTAAGTATTACGATGTAGAATATAAATTCCTTGTGAAATGGACTGATTTTCAGGGATTTTCACATAGGTATTAAGATGTAGAATGTAAATTCTTCGTGAAGGAGAAGTAGTTTATGGATTTTCACGTAGGTATTAGGATATAGAATATAAATTTCTCCTGATAGACAAATATTTTTAGAGACTTTCACGTAAGTATTAAGATGTAGAATACAGAATTAAGATGTAGAATAAGTATTAAGATGTAGAATAAGTAATGAGGCTTTTTTTGTCGCCGTGTAAGAGAAATATATATATAGATTATATACATTTTTTATACTTAGATGTATGTTTTTTGCTTTTCCACTTCTGATAAATACAATTTTTTAAATATCCAAAAAAATATTTTGTTGTATTAGTAGACGCATAGGTTATAAGTAGGTATGAAAAATAAATTAAAATGCAAACTAAGAATGAAATTATTGTTTTTATTTATGAGTAAATTATTCGTATTATTTAAAAGCTTTATTTTTGAAGAACTTTTCTACTCTTTCGTACAAAATAATGCAAAAAGTTAATTATAAAACAATAGAAGAGAAACTAAGTAAATATTTTGGTCGTTCGCTAAAAGAGATTTCAATACCCTGAAGCCAGATTCGGGAAAAAATGTATTCATCATAAGAAAAGGAAGTAATCCAGAAAAAAAAACTTCACCTTTTTTCTTACTGAGACCACCAAAACAATTTGCAACATTAATTGAAGAGTTGCATGTGATCAAAATGTTATTTTAGTGATTTGTAGGAAATAATCTCTAAAGTTTTTCGTGAACAGAAAGCAATGTCAAATTCGTCTTGCCATTATTTCTTGTTTTCAAGCTTTAAAATAGACAAAATCTTTAAATCCTTAACTTTCATTTAAGCTATCTGAGTCAACGATTTCACATGTTCGGCTTTTTAATTTGCAGCCAAAAATGTTCTCTTAGTCAATTATAGTTTCCTAAGTCAACTTTTTTAAAGCCAACTAGTAATCATGATTTCGGACCACAAAACATGCAGCATTAACTCATAACATCAATGATAAAACCTTCATTTTAAGGTATTTGACATAAAAATAGGGTTTGGTTGTAATCCTGTGTGCATAAACGGATTCTGCCCGTATAAGAAAGACGGAGGTGGAAACTAGTTATCATGATTTTATCAATGCATGGTCTGGTTGCAATGCATGATTTTATCAATGCAAAAGATCTGGGTTGTTCTTTTATACCTCACTGTCAAATTCTTATTTGAAGGTATTTGTCAGAGAAGAAAAAAGCTCTTGGCTGTAGATATGAATATCCTGAGTGTATAAACGAACTCTACCTCTAGAAATAATCTAGCACACTACAGTTATATACTAATAACGTGAATTTGTGAAACTTTATCGTTCAGCTTAAAAAGTGGTCCTTGTTCATTAAATTATACGGTAAAGTAACGGTAAATTACATAATTTTGGCTGGGAAGACAACAACACTCAGGCCTTCATAAAATATGTCATAAAGGAAACCATGGAATATAACTTATTGGATTCATATTTCATTCATTCATTTGAATGCATTTGACAGAGAAAAAAAGATCTGGGTTGTAGATATGAATACTCTTGGGGCCTAAACGGGCTTTGCCGGTATAAACCAACACCTACTAGAAAAGAGCAGGCCTCAGCACGGGTTACCATAAATATCCTTATGTAGTCCAAACGTAATGACATCTTTCTTATTTTTCATCTACTGCGCAGTTAACTTCGTTACATCGGAATTGCTACTAAATTGATCCGTGCTGAGACCTTCCTTCTTCTAGGAGGTGTTGTATAGACACTCTAGTGCGCTACAGTTATACACTAATAACATACATTTTTAGAACTTTATCATTTAGCTTAAAAAGTACGCATTTTTCTTGAAATTATATGGTAAAGGGACAGTAAATGCGTATTTTTTGATAATTCAGACTACACGCGTTCGTAAAATATATCGCAAACGAAACCACATTATCAAAATTATTGGATTCATACTAATGGGATTATCTGCCTGATTAATTTTGTAAAATTGTTGGTTGAATTTTTATTTTGCATTCTAAAATAATAAATTACACTAAAAATAAAAAAAGCAACTTTTTTTGTTAAATTTTGTAGCTGAATGTAAGATTGTTTTGTATTAAAGGCACGCTAAATTCCTCTATAAAACTCCTCATTACTTTTGACGAGAGGTTTCAAATATTTGCCTAAGGAGATAAAATACCGCTGGAGTAATATTTCCATTTTACGGCATCAAATCAATTCACTTACATCATGTCTAAAATAAATAAAACTCTCAAGGTTATTTACCGACTGATAAATATATCAAAGACTTTTAATCGATTATAGTTAATCTTAAAGTAGTTAGAGAAAATTATCAGAAATAAAACTAATAAAGCTTTTAACTTCTTTAACGCTTGAGAACAACTTTTTAATTAATTAACGTAATGAGTCTAAATGGATCGAAGATTTTTGCACTTTTATTCATATTTTTTCCTAACACCGATCAAAAGTGGAGAAGGAATGTTATTGCTCGAAGCAGGTGCTATAATAAATTTCGATAACTATTTTTCCTTTAGTTTTATGAGTATAAAATTAAAAATTAAACTTACAAGATATGGACATTCTTAATTTCCTCTAGAAGTTTTATATGAACTCTGTTCATAAAAAAGATTCAGCTTTTAAAGGGAAAAAAAAGTCAATCAAAAAATTTCATACTTTAAAACTTGTTGGATTTAATTATACTCGTTGGATTTTCTATTGCTTTTACTATTTTTTATTCTATAATCTAAAAGCCTAAAATTTAAAGAATTTGATTTGAAATTTCAAAATTGGACTATATCGTTTAATTTTTATAGATCTAAAAATCTCCTACTTGATGCTTTAAAGTTAATCCCATTTTTTTATACCTTTCTTTGGAGTTTTATACCTTTGTATCTAGTGAATAAGCCTATGATTCCTTTCTTACAAAAAAGAAAAAAATCCTAGAACAAATGTCTCATTATTTAGAATTTATTTTGAAGAAAAAAGCTGGTTTAGTCTACGAAAATATATTATCTTTCCTGTGCATATAAGAGCGAAAGTTTGGAATATTCTCTAATAACACGAGAATGGGAGCACCTATTTGAAAAAATTTTTTCTCTGTAGTTTACAAATTTTTATGGGGCAATTTGTAAGCAATCACCACTTCCTGCCTTCATTTGTTTCGAGTGCAACATAGAAAATACAAAATTCTATTGTTGAAACCAATTGTGTAATTACTGCACATTGTTGGAATACCAAATACCATTATTAATCGCTACAGTAAGGAAATTACCGCAATTTTTGGTGTTTGTATAGAATCAAAAACATGGTAAATTTTGACATGTTTTGAACATGCTCTTTTTTTCAGCGTGATTAGTAACAGAAAAAAATATCTACAAACATGGATTTTTGTTTTCTCGAAGCGAATATTCAATTTTTCTGCAATGTAGCTTAGTTGTTGTTTTTTTTTCTTTTCTTTTTTTTAAATTTTTCTATTTTCGATGCTTATAAATGTCTACAAGAATATGTGATTTTCTTTCTTGTAGAAAAAAGTCGTATACTTGAAATTTGATTATTCAGGAGCTACTCGACCAATTTCACTCAAATTTTGTATTTTGCCATATAAAATCATATTCTTTAAAATGATGTGAAAAACTGTATACCTTAAAATTCAAACTATTTTTTTGACTAATATTAAATAAAATAAGAGAAAAATTATAAATATTTATTAAAAGTTAATTTTTTGCTTGGAATTATCTTTGGATAAAGGAGATATGATGAAATGTGAAGATTAATATTTTAAAATTAATATTGAAGGGTCCAAGCTTTGGACCGCTCTCCTAATCAAGCTATTGGGACCATATTTCTCAGATTGCGGTTACTGCCTATATTTTGGGGACTGGAAAACCGAATCTGTTGAAAAATGAGTATGTTTACTAAAAGAAAGTACGTTTTTGTGACTGATTTTGCTACTTAAAATATCGTCTGCACTAATTAATTAGCATATTTGAAGTTACCCTCTCGAGTCATTAAGAATAAATAGTAAAAGGTGAAGATCCTATATTTAAATAAAAGTTATTAAGGGTGGTCCGTTTTTCATATTGCGTACTGTACATTCTATAAAGCTTCTAAATGTCCAATACTTAATTACTTAATACTTAACTGTCCAATACTTAATACGTAATTATCTGCTATCGAAAAAATGCGTCTTTGTTAAAAAAAATAACAGAAAGGTACCATCTACGAAAAAAATTTTGATAAATTAAAATAAAAAGGAGAAAATAACAGAAATATACAGTTGCGGAACAACTGTTGCAGAAAATTGCATGTAATCTAAGAAAGTAAAGAATAATGCAACACTTAATACGTAATTATCTCCTATCGAAAAAATGTGTCTTTGTTAAAAAAAAACAACAGAAGGGTACCATCAACGAAAAGAATTGTGATAAATTAAAAAAAGAAGAAGAAAATAATAACAGAAATATACAGTTG